GGGGTGTCCATTTGCAACCTTGATTGCGGACCTTGATGTCTGTCCCTCCTCTTCTTCTGGGGGTGATGCCTGCAGGAGGGGCATGCTCCCCGCCCCCAGCCACGCTGCGGCCCCCAGGCCGAGGCTCCCACTGAGTATGACCTCCCGGCACTGCCGGAGGAGAGTGGCTGTCCTCCCCGCGGCCCAGGATGCTGTCAGTGCACAGAAGGACATGTACCATGTACATCATGCTCTCGGGAAGGTTGGCGGACCCCTCAGCTGCACTCCCCACCCCCCAGGAGAAAAGGCAACTCTTAGGTGGCTTTCCAGCTCGAAAATCCCTGTGCAGGTGTGAGTGGCAGCTGGGGACCCTCTTAACAGGTCCAAAAGCAAAACCTGACTGTGACCACACTAAGATAAAATGAGGACTCTTTTCACTTAAAAAGTAAATTAACAAAGAGAAAGGGGTGTGTTCCCCCCGCCCACGCCTGCCCTTTCCTGTCCACCGTGCAGTTCGGCATTTCCAGTGAGGCCTCGGACTTCCGCGCCAGTTCCTGTCTGCTGCTGCCGGGCCCTGAGAGCAGGACGTGAAGGAACAGCACCTTTATCCACCTGCCTTTCCCCTTAGACACGTCCTCTTTCTCCCGCGGCCGGCGGGTGTCCGGTCCAGTTGCTTTTCTCGGCATCCTTCGTGGCCCGTGGCGAAGCTGGTGCTCAGGTCCCCGCCCAGTTTATGTGATTTTGTGGATAAAACAGGCAGGGTGACCAGATAAGGGTGTGCTCTGGAGAAGCCTGATCAATTCCTTAATGATTGGACCATATCGACCAGAAATGGTTAATTCAGTTCCACGAGTTGATATTTCCCAGGGCTTCTCAGAAAACTGTATCATTCGCAAAAGTGATAGAGAATTTAAGTCTCCCCCAGATAAACCAGGCCCGCCCCGGCCCAACGGACAGAGACAGTCCCGTCTTCTGTTTGGGCCCCGGAGAATTTGTGTGTGCAGCTGTGTAGGAAGGAGTTTCGTGATGCACCCACCCAAATCTACACGGCCACTTGGAAACCCCATTGTCACCGTGGTGTACCTGACCGTCTTTCTTGAAGGTTGCGTGGAGACCCACTATGCAGGCGACCCTGTGGTTACTGTCAGTCTTCCCTTTTTGAATGTAAATTGGGAAAGAAGTAAATATCTTCTATTTTTTAAATCCACAATATTCATGGAAATATTAATTTCCCTAAAGCTTATCACTAAGGCCAGTTACCCATAGCCCTTGGGGCCGTTAGTGCAGACCTGCCTCCAACCCCAACCTTGGCAAGGATCCTAGGTCCCCCTCTTCTTCCTACAAAGAAGGAAAGAAACTAGAGCACAGCAGTCATTCAGTTTTGGGGAAAAAACTAGACCTAAAACTTTTTATAAAGTCAAACTTTTAACATCCTTGTATCAAAAGATGATCTTTGTTTGATGAAATAGTATCATCAGTTGCAAACTGAGTTTGGTTAAATTCAAAGCTTTTCCAGTTTTAAGAATGAAGCCTGGGGAGAGCCATAGCTCAGTGGTAGAGTGTGTGCTCAGCACGTGCAAGGTCCTGGGTTCAATCCCCAGCACCTCCATTAAAAAAAAGAACGAAGGCTGCCATGTTTCTAGGATGGTCCGTGCCAGTCCCCACGCCCTCCCACCCTCGCTAAACGGGGTCGCTGCAGCTGGCGCAGAAGCTCTCCACAGAGCTGGGAGAAGCAGCCCCTTCGCCCCCCAGCAGGTGTCCTCACCTGCTCCTCCAGTCCCCCAAGGACCAGCCTATGCTGATGCTGCGGAGACCCAGAGCCCGGAGTGCGTCACAGCTCAGGACGCGCCCTGCGAGGTCAGAAGCGCCCCACGCCGCGAAGCAGGTGGAAGCACCCAGGTCAGGAGCTCCCGGGACTCGAGCTTGGATGGATGGCACCGGGGCAGGTGCAGACGTGGGACGGGGTCCTCTGCGCTGCCCATCAGGCAGGAAGGCCAGGGTGGAAGATGCTTGGAGGTGAGTGTCTTAGACCCTCCACAGGGAGGAGGCGGAGAGGGAGCAGCAGGTGGTCTGGGCACAGCTCTGGAGCTGGGAGAAGCCGGAGCTTAGGCAGGCATCCCAAGGGGGTACCCTGACTCTGCCACCTCCGGTCTGCTCCCCCTCCCAGAGCTCCTGCCCCCAACCCCAGCGGAGGAGGACGCCTGGAAGCCCCTCAGCTCACAGCCTTTTGAAGAGACGACTGTGGCTCTGCAGAATAGCAGTTCCCGTGTGGCTGCGCTGGCGTGTGCACAGAAGGCTCTGCCGGGTGGCAGTCCCACGAAGGTGAAGACCGATGTGCAGAAGCTCCTGTCCCAACGGGAAGGAGCCCGCATACTCCTCAGTGACGCTCCGGCGCCCCGGCTGGGCGCTAGCGTTTCACCACCCCTTTGGAAGTGGCTTCTAAGGCCACCACTGATGCTGAAAAACCGAGAAGCAGCCTTCAGGAGTCAGCTCTTTGGTCCCAAGGGCACAGCTGCCACAGACGAGTCCTGGGTCACTGGCCAAGGACAGCTCACTGCAGAGACAGTCACCTTCTGGACAAGAATCCCCAAAATGCTTGGCCACAGGAGACCAGTGCGGGGCTGAAATGAATGACATTTCAGGGCTCCTGAGTCACTGGTCTGCAAGCCGCTCAACGTGCCATGCAGTCGTCTAATCTCCAGGCACCGTCGCTGCTGGACGCCATGTGGCCGCGAGTTCCAAAGCCAGCAGAGGGACCGTGCAGAAACGTCCTGCTTCCTCGTGGACACCCTCAGGTCCCGTGCAGCCTGGGCGGGCCGCAGTCACTCTCAGAGAAGTAGGGTTCCCCCAGAACTCCCTCTTGGAAGCTCACGACGCAGAGTCACCGGCAGCAAGGCAGAGGCCAGGCCGTGAAGGCGCTGGGCGGGGAGACACGTGAGCAGCACGTGGGCAGAAGGCACGGGCCGTGCTGGTGCCAGGAAAGCAGCGAGACAGAGGCCAAGCCGCCCGGAAGGCTGCGGCTACACGTGGACCCCGAAACCTGAGAGGGTGGGGACTCCCGAGCCTGCGTGGAAATGGGGACGGGGAGGCGGTGCCTCAGCCACAGAGGGAAGACGGTGACAAACTTAAAACGGCCCGTGGGTGTCCAACTTAGGTGTTAAGGAAGTTTCAAGTTTCTCAAGCCCACAGCTCCCCGCGGCTTTCCCGGAGGCTGTGTGGACCTCGAAGGCAGGGCCTGTCCCGGCAAAGCTGAACGTGAGTGTCTGGGCTTAGCATCCCTGATGCTTCGGTCCAGGACCTGCCGTCCGAGGAGATGCGCCAAGGCATCGGCCTGCAGGCTCTACTCAGTCATTGCCCCGGGGGTGAGCCCTCTCCGGCGTCTCCCATCCTCACCTGAGGTGCATTTCCTCCTAAGCGGTTCCTGCGAACACCCTGCGCTGTTCCCTGTTCACCACCTGGATGTAAGCACCACGCGGCAGGGTCCCCGGTGTTTCCCCAGTCCCCAGGGAGGTGCTGGCACACGATGAGGACGGGGTGACTGTTAGTGGCAGAAACAGCTGGATGAATATGTGACCTGAACAGCAAAATAGGTAGTTAAGCGTGCAATCAGGTCGCATTCTGGTCAAGTGAACAGGTGCTCGGTACTAAGTGTGCGGCTGACGGTGCAGCTGCCGGGCACCGCCCGCCCTTGTCTTGTTTTGTTGAAGTAGAGCTTACAGTGTTGCATTAGTCTCAGGTGTGCAGCAAAGTGACACAGTCACACATACATTCTTTTTCATATTCTTTTCCTTTATAGGTTATTACAGGATATTGAATATCGCTCCCTGTGCTCTACAGTAGGACCTTGCTGTTTATCTGCGTTGTATCGAGTAGTTTGTGTCTGCCAATCCTAGACTCCTACTTTATCTCTGCCCCCTGCCCCTTTGGTAACCGTATGTTTGTTTTCTGTCTGTGAATCTGTTTCTGGTTTGTGAATAAGTTCATTTGTGTCACTCTTTCAGACTCCACATCAAAGTGGTACATGGTGTTTGTCTTCGTCTGTCTGACTTCACTGAGGTTGGGGATCGCAGGTCCATCTGTCGCCCTGACCTGCGAGTGCCTCGGTGTCCCTGGGACACTTTACCTCCCCACCTCCCCAGGGAGGAACTTAAGTCTCAGAGAACAGAAGGTGCTCATCTGCACGTGGGCACCGGTGTGTCTTTCCCTGCGCATCCACGACACCCACGACACCCACGACACCCACTAACAGTCACAGGAGAGACAAATGCACCTCCAGGGGAGTGTGGAGCCCACATGGTCTCACCCTGAAGAAGGGAAGGTTCCCGTCTGAGACTCTCAGCATTTAAAAAAGTAGGAGTTAAAATACTGGTCAGTGTTCTTGGTTCTTCCGAGAATGCATCAAATATTCAGCAGTCGCCTGTAACCAGAGGTGGCCATACTGTCCTCCTTGTAAGACAGCATTGATCCAAACAGTTTTCAGGGAAAAGTTAGCCAGTAGGGCCACCAAAAGAGCCACTTTCCTGAGAGAGATTCAATTAAGCGTCCGTGCAGTTGCACGAGGAGCAGGCTGCGACACTGAGGTGGCCTGTTTTCTGGTCATGATGGATCCAGAAACCTTAATGAGGAACAACATTTGTGTTACTGTCTACCCAAATTTAATTTGTTTATGCAGCGGTTCAGTTAATCCTGCAATCTGGTTTTCGCAGACGAGGGCAGATAATGGAGACACCGTTCTTTACAAGTCTTCAGGCTTTTAAATTCTGATAAAATCAGGATTCTTCACTGGGCCTTGCCTCAGCTCTGAATTAAACCACTTTAAATGTAATTATGGAAACTGGCCTGACATCAGGGACATCCATTTGCAAAATTGATTGGCCAGGCGGTTCCACGAGGCATCTTATGAGCAAACGATGGCAAAGGGGCCAGAACTGTCATTTATAAAGGCAAAAAAGCAGGTAAATACTTTATTAGTGGTAATGAGAAGGCTTCCAGGGAACTGAACCTTGTTCTTTCCTCACCAGCTACTTCACGGAGCCGTGGTGCATGGCCCTCTTTCACGATCGTTTTATTGATCTCAGGAAGGAGTTGCGCCAAATCTTATCCTCCAAGGAGGTAAGAGTGATTAACGGATGTGCGGCTCAGGCCTCGCAAATCGCCAGCAGTTAGAGCCGTTGTCATTTAGACTCTTCCCTACTTTCCCACTTTATGGTTTTACTTTGAAAACCAACTGTGTGCTTCATACAAACGCACTACAGCGTAGGTGCACGTAGACAGTGATGTTTCAAGGCAAGTGGACTGTTTCATCTCCGAGGGGGGCACGATTCTTTTCCCCTTTCCCCAGCGACAGCACTGTGAGCGGCAGCGAGCCCGCTGGCCGAGGCCAGGCTGTGGATCGCGTCCCCGTGCCCTCGGGAACCAAGGCTGCGCGCCTGCCGCTCCCGTCCTGTCCCTGTTTGCCAGCCACTCACTAAACGTGTGCGCGTGTTGTTATAAAGACGTCAGAGGACGTCAACAGATGTCCGAACACACTCCTTTCAGAACCGAAACTTCTTAGTGTGAAACACAACTAGCCAGGAACTAGGCCACGTACCCCGCAGGCTCCGCGCTCAGCAAGAGGCTGGACTGCGGTGTCGATCGTAAGGTGATTGTGAAACTTACCTTTTTCAGCACGAGAGTCCTTGCTCCCCGAGCTGTGCAGAAAGGTCACACCCGGGCTCAGAAAGTGGTCAAGCATCCACTCCTGACTCTTCCTCAGCTCACTCAGGCCAGGGCTCAGCTTCCACCTTGCCGACTGTCCCTGTGTCGCCTCAGCCTGGAGACCTGCCACCTCCTCTCAGGTCCCCGTGGTGTGGGCTGCCCCGCGGGATACAGGGACATCCCTCTCGCCCTGGTCGCCACACGCCCCACCTCACTGCATCCCAGCAGGGACCCTCCGAGGGGCAGCGGCACTGCTGTCCTCACCTCCACTAAACCAGTGACGAAGCAAAAGCTGAGAGACTCTAAGGGCCGCCAGCGGCACACGTCTCAAGCATGTCTCACTGCAAAGCCGGGGTCCTCGGTACTGAGCCGAGCTCGTGGCCCAGCGCCCTCTCCCCATTGCCCCGCCCCCGGTCAGTTTCGTCCCTGGGGTCCACGCTGGGAAATTTAAATAGTTTTCCTAATTTGAAGTAGATTCAGACTGCGGAAAAAACAGGTTTCAAGTTTAAACCAAACTCAGTTCTCTTTGGTGCCCTCAAAGATGGAAGGGAGGCAGAGGGGCCAGCGGCTGAATGCACAGGGCAGCCGGGGCTCGAGGCACTCAGAGTGGAGGTGACAGTGGTAATGAGGTAGAGACAGAGACCCAGGATGCTGCAGGTCACACCGGCCCCTGCAGCGCCTCCGGGGGTGGCGGGGAGGAAGCTGGTCCACGTTAGACCAGGCCCCGATCTGGAAGCCTGGTGCTGACTGAACTTCATTCAACGCTGCAGACCCTCCCATCCCCCCTTAAATGTGATCTGCAGCTCACTGCTGCCCCACAGGAAAGATTCGTCATTTTCTAGTTATCCCATCAAAACTCTGCCCAAATCCTTCTAAACCCTGGATCTGAGTTCCGCTGTTAACCTTCTGCACAGGGCCAAGGGGTTTTAGGCATAAAGCTTAAAAGGGAAGCTTTCCCTTCATGTTTCCAAGTACATCATCAAGTGCAATGACGGCCTCTCACGGCACTCACTGAGCCTCCCTCCACCTTTTACACACACACAGACATTTGCCGGGGGTCAGTCTGCTGGGCATAGACTCAGCCTGGACAGCAGGCCCTGGCGGCAGACCAGAAGTGACCTTTGCAGAGGACAGACTAAGGGCT